GCCAGTCCGCGTCAACGTCGAAAGCGGCGACTGCCTCGAGATTCGTTTTGAAGACGACGGCACGACGTTTTCGCATGTCTACTTGATTGGGCCTGCTGAGCCAACGTTCAGTGGCGAAATCGACCTCTAATTCTAGAATTCTGTTGTCTCTTACCGTACTGCATGAAGATATAGTGGTGTGGCCTGAGGAGATGTACACATTTGTCATGAATCTCACTTCTGGTGCGCTTGTCTGCTCGGCTTGTCCAGGTGCTAGGTTCGAGGGACTACGGTACGTCGATGGGTTCTTAATTATGGCCTGATGCCATTATTGACCACAAATAAGAAAGGCCATTTCAAAATTGAGAAGCGATGGTCCAGCACACGGGGTCCTGTCACTGCAAGGCCGTGACGTTCGAGTTTGAGGCGCCGGCGCAGCTCGTCGCGTGGGACTGCAACTGCTCGATCTGCGCCATGAAGAAGAACGTGCACACGATCGTGCCAAGCGCAGCCTTCCGGCTCACGGCCGGCGCCGACAAGCTCACGACGTACACGTTCAACACGCACACGGCCAAGCACCAGTTCTGTTGCGTCTGCGGCGTGCAGCCTTTTTACATCCCGCGCAGCAACCCCGACGGATTTGCGATCACGATCGCCTGCATTGCCCCGGGCACGGTCCAGCACGTCGAGGTCAAGCGCTACGACGGCCAGAACTGGGAGGCCCAGTACGAGACCGCCGATATTGCCAAGTACTCCAAGGCATAAGAATACGCGGCAACACGACTCTTTTTTACCCAACGGTGCGGAAATGGATCGCGAGGCCGATTAAACTCGTCGCGTGTAAGTGCCTCGCGCAACGAGCTGTTCAACCGCGCATATTATGACCTAGGACTGGTACGTAGTATAGAGCTTCTGGGTCCGATCGCTTCGTGGCATGGCGTGAAACACGTTGTTGGTCGTATGATGGATGCTTCGTGCTAGGGAGGAGATATCGACATTAGCCTCGCCTCGCGATCGGTGAGACCTGACTTGCTTCCCAATACCGGTGAGCTGAGCCGGCGACTCTGCTACGCTTTACTAGTAGTAGTTTGTGTAGCTGATGAGCCGGTGGAGCCTATTCTCGCGTGGCTTTCATGCACCTCCACGCTACTACAGCTGCACCGTGTGTTGAAAGCCGTGGCCGTCCGATCCGGCTTGCCCCGAGGCTCGACACTGCCTTCTCTGCGATGCGCAAGCCCGCGAAACGTACGACCCTCTTTTGGTGCACTGCCCATACGCCCGCGCAATCTGGCGCGCTTTTGCACCGATGCGAGACATTTTGCAGATGCCACTCCCGTCGTCGGTCGCTAGCTTTCTCTACGACGACGTAGCCGCGCCGCGATCGACCCACAAGTCGTCCATTCGTGCCCTCTGGCGGATCCCTACGCGCTTGCGTCTGGTATTGTCATTGGCTTGAACGCAGCGACCGTGTCTTCCGCACGACGCTGACGCAACTCCCCGCTGCTTCGCTCGCGACCCGGGCAGCTACCATCGCACGACTGCACGTCCGGGACTTGGCTCGTCGCTGGTCGCTCTCCGAGATGACTCTTGGTGTGCACGCTACCGGGTCCCTCACACAGCAGTCCCGAATCACGACTACTAACGCTCCTCACTTGACGCACCGGCCATGCCTCACCTCACGAGCGCATTAGGAAGTCCACCATATCTTTACAATTGCCTCAGTTCAACAACAACACGTGTGCCGTGTTCAGTCGCTTCGAGCTCGGGTTCTCCACCTCGCACCCTTGCATTTCTTGAACCAATCATCAGACCTTGAATGACAGTTCGAAGGCCAAGACGAGACTGTCATGCTACTGTGCTGTGCAGTATCAGAGCAGATTTGCTGACGAGTAAGAACGATATCATCTCCTCCCAGCGCGTGGGTGGCAACACCGTCGACGGCGCATTGACTACACCATCGCCCTCTTCAAACGCCCGCAACCTCCACGCCTGAATGCGCATCATCATGTTGCTGGCGAACAACCAAGTTCAAGCAGTGGCATCTGGTCACGAGACAAATTCAGCAATCGCACCGTGGTCGACGTGTAGTAGCTGACAGAGTAGCTGATGCCATTGATTCTTCCCACCAGCTTCCATGACCAGCTTCAAGAATCTCGGTTCGCGACAACCGCTGGCGGAAAACCGACTGCTGGGAAGGGAGAAACTTGAGCCAAGATACTTGGGAGCTAAATTTTCACTGGACGAGTGAGCGATCAAGAAGTCAAGCGCGCTACAACGACACGCCTGCGACCCAACCTCCTTCGCCGACCCTTTTTCTTCGCATAGCCTCCTTGGCCTGGAGCATGAGCCTAGTATCGACAGTATCGACTTGCGTACCTGACTGACGAGGCCTCGGTATCACTGACGTGGCGCTTCTTCGAGGCACGTTATCGGCGGCCTGTCGCGTGTGCATCGAAGCCACGTTCGTTGAAGTTTGAAACCACTTGCGGTTCGTATGGGTATAGTGAAATCAGGTTACGAAATTTCGAGCGACGACACTGTGCATGGAACACGGTCGAACAGCGGATCGCCATTCACACCGCAAGTCCCCACTCTCACTTTTCTTCTACTGTCAGCTACCATGAGCGTCACGGAACCCGCCACGGCCGCCGAGCCCCAGCAGCCGACGACGCCCGTCCCGTCGCCCAAGGCGGACGCGCCCACTGAGTACGTCCCGGTGACCGAGTACGCGCCGGTCGCCGACGCCGTCCTCGTCGAGCCTACCGTCGCCATGAACGTTGTCGTCGTTGACGCTGGCCTCGATGCCAACGGCCTCGTCGTCGGGCGCTGGAAGGCCGACATCTGCGCCTGCTTTTCGGACATGATCCCGAACTGCTGCATGGCGTACTGGTGCCCGTGCATCTCGCTCGCCCAGACCCTCCACCGCGTCGGTCTCTTCACGTACACCAACACGCTCCTCGTCTTTGCCGTGCTGTACCTTGCGCAAGTGCTCACGTGGGTCCTCGCGGTCTCGGTCGGCCGCAGCTGCGTCTCGTACAGCAGCTGGAGCTACGACTACGAGATCTGCTCGGGCTACAACGCGTGGATCTACATCATGTGGGTCGTCTCCGTCCTCGTCGTCGCCGCGCTCATGTACGTCCGGACGCGCGTCCGCGCCATGTTTGCGATTCCGGGCAACGTGTGCGAAGACTGCCTCTGCGCGTGGTTTTGCAGCTGCTGCACGATCGCCCAGCTGGCGACGCACACCGACTCGTACACGCCCAACGCCTGCAACTTTGGGCCCAAGGACACCCTTGCCGGCTACGTTGTCTAATTGTGGATTGGGACCCTGTCTTGTATCTTTTCAATATTTCAAAATGGAGATATATTTCTACGGGGTGGTCGCGATCCAACATTCATACGTGCATGCATCCTTGTCAACGCAAGAGACACGGGCCCAGAGCGCATGCATACTAGTATATGAAGGTGCAGAAGCTGTGGAAAAGCTTCAAGGTCTGCCTTACTTAGCTGAGGGTTTGATGATACATTGATAGATTGTAACGTTTCTGGCAGAGACCGAAGCAGTACGTCCTCGCTGCGTGGGCCCAGCCCATGCACAGACAAGCTTTGTTCCGCCAGTGAGTAAACTGCCACAATGAGCCCCGCGCCCATCTCTGTCACCCCGAAGGCGCCGCTCGAGTATATCCCCGTCATGGACCCTCTGGCACTACCGATGGCGCACCCCGATGACGATGCGTCGGTGCCCATGGCCGGCGCCGTGGACATGAACGGGCTCGTACTCGGGCGCTGGAAGACCGACATCTTTGGCTGCTTTACGGACCTCATGCCCAACTGCCTCATGGCGACCTTCTGTCCGTGCATTTCGCTCGCCCAAGTCCTCCACCGACTCGGCCTCTACTCGTACTCGTCGACACTAATTGCGTTTGGCATTCTCTACACCGCGTACCTTGTCGCGACGATGCTCTCGTCGTCCGTGCACCAAGCGTGCGTCTACAACGGCTTCGTCGTCACGTGCACGGCGTCGTGGAACCCGTGGCCGGCTGTGAGTCTCCTCTTGGCTGTCTTAATGCGCGGGCTGCTCATGCACATCCGGACGCGGGTCCGCGGCCTCTTTCAGATTCCCGGCAGCGCGGCTGAAGACTGTCTCTGCGCGTTCTGCTGCTCGTGCTGCATGCTCGCCCAGCTGGCGACGCACACGGATGCGTACACGGCGGCGCAGTGCGAGTTTGGACCAAAGGACACGCTGCCAGGGTACCACGCCTAGCTTTCACTGTTGATCCAATGCAATGCACTGTGCTTGTTTCCAAAATGCGTGCTTATGCCCGTCCTCGTGCGAGCTTCCCATAGTGGTAGGCGCCGAAGCGTCCAGACCGCAGAACACTCTAGGAAACAACCTCATCGCCCTCTTGACGGCGTGTGCCACGCTGCGACGTTATCAGCACAGGAGGGTTAGGGCGCCGGCGTGGCTGCCACGGACGTGGTCATTGAGCAGCAGTGCCGACGAGAGAGGTCTAGATCCGCTGGGTGTGACTGCGATGACAGCCGTTCGTTCTGCTCTCTTGTGTTGACGTTCGAAACCACGACGCGCAGTCGGCCAAGCAGTGGATGCCCTCGGGCATCGGCCAGCGACCCTTCATCCGCCGCCAGCTCTTGCTGTCCTCAGACAGTGCATTCGTGCCAGGAACCATACAGTGTAAGACACTCTCATGAGAATAATTGGATGCGCTATCGGACCGCTCCGTGCGCCACGAGCGAGCGGCGTCATCAGCCATCAGATCGGCCATTACGATGTGCCCACGCACGACCTCTGTGCCAGAGCAATTTAATACCTGCATCGGAATGTTCGATACAAACACCACACTCAACGCACCATAATTTAATGCTAACGTCCACCCACGTGGGTCGGCTTGGGTTAGCTCCCTCACAACCGTTCTATGCGCGCTGCATTGCTCCGATCCATCGACTTGCATATTGTATTGTAGACAGCAGAAGGAGGCCTCGCCGTCGCAAGAAGGGAATTGTTAGTAACATCACGTCACGATGGGCGCAGGCCAGTTAGCATTTTCCCGCACCAAGTTAAGCATGAGCATCACCGAGAGCACCAAGCCCGCCGACGCGACGCCCGTCGACGCGACGCCCGTGGCCGCCAACTACTACGATAAGGACGTGGCCTTTGCGGCGCCGGCGCCGCAGGTCGTCATCGTGCAGCCCACCGTGGTCATGCAGGCGGCGCCCGTCGACCACAACGGCCTCGTCGTCGGTCGCTGGAAGGCCGACATTTGCGGCTGCTTTACGGACCTCGTGCCTAACTGCTGCATGGCCTACTGGTGCCCGTGCGTCTCGCTCGCCCAAATCGTCCACCGCGTCGGCCTCTACACGTACACGAATGCGCTCATCGTGCTCGCCGTCATCTTTGGCGGGTCGTACGTCACGACCGGCTTCTCGGGCTACTTTCGTGACACGTCGTGCACGTACTACAGCGGCGGCCTCACGCTCTGCGCGACGACCATGTCCTTCTGGGGCTACATCTCGTCCGTGTGCGCGATCGTGTCGGTCGCGATCATCATGCTCGCGCGCATGAAGATCCGCGGCATGTTCCAGATTCCGGGCAACGCGTGCGAAGATTGCCTCTGCGCCTTTTTCTGCAGCTGCTGCTCGGTCGCCCAAATGGCCACGCAAACCGACTCGTACACGCCCAACGACTGCAACTTTGGGCCCAAGGAGACGCTCCGCGGCTACGTCCTTGCCTAAGTGTATGCATGTAGTATACCCAAAAGCAGCATCTCCATGCTCAAATCGACAAGTCATCTTGCCATTTGATCGATCGCACAGCAGCCGCAGCAGAGGCAGTCCGTAAAGAAGGAGCCGGCTATGTTGAAGCGCTTGGTGCGGACTTTCGCGATGAGGATTGCAATGATGAAATAGCACACCGCGAGGAGGATCGCACCCGCGGCCAATTGCAGCGCGCACACGCTGCGGCCGTCGATGAGGCGACAGTTCTCAAGGTCCGGAAAGGCCATCATTGGGAGGACGTTGGCGTCTCCTTAAGCACGATGCAGCAGCGTCAGTGGTGCCCGAGGAGCCTCGCCGTCGTCTTTCTGGCTTCGCCGGTCATTATTCTTGGCGTTCGCCATTTACAACCATAAATAACCATATTTTGGTCAACACAAGCCCGCCGCGCCGGCGGATCGACCAAAATGAAGTTTGAGAATGAAATCGCCCATACTTGCCAGAGTGCTAGACCACACTTTGGGGAGTCCAAAATGCTATGTGGCGTCGCTGTGCGAGCTCTGTAGCAAGAGCAAATGACAGCGACAAACAATTCTTTGATATAGTGTGCATTTTCGATATACTGAAATGCTGTACGGCTTACAAGGCCTCGTCACACAGCGGTATCGCGCGCACTCTGCCTCCCTCGGCCATATGCAATACACTCTATAGCATGATCAAAGAGAGACGGCGTCCTCGGTTTCCGCGATTTCGACGCATTTTCAACCGAAATTGCATGTCGAATGTCGTGAAAACCGACGCTCGGCAGTTCGAGTTTGGTGTGAGAGCCCAAGCAACGACGGCGACCAACAAACTGGTCGCACACCGGTTCAAGACCCTTTGCCAACTGTGGCAGCCAGTCTTACGGTTCTTGGAGCTTTGGAACTCCGCGATGTCACGTGAAGTATTTGGGCAATTCTGCCACCACCTCGAAAAATGGAAAATGGATTTGCGCGTGATTGTGCTACGTGCAGCGTCGGAAACGACATTTATGTCATTCAAGAAGTGTGGGGAGAGGTATACCCGGCGGCTACGTGGCGCTGGTGCGTCTGTGGGTTACTACTCGTCGTTGTGCTGAGTGGTGCTCACACTATTTGAGTCGAGATTGTGAGGTCTTGTGATTGGCTAGAAAGAATCAAGATTTGGGCCAATAAAAATATCCATTCCAGATCGAGTTCCAAACGAGCCAGATCCACATGCACAAGAGGTGGCGTCGACGCGCGCGATCATCGGGAAGGTCCGGCGCGACGAGCGGCTACACGAAGAGGCAGAGCGCACTGCTTTCCGCGAGAAGCGGACCTCGACGGCCGCGTCAAGGCGCTCCAGAAGACCAAGCCGGCGGCCATCGACCTCTTTGCGCCCGACGCGACTCGCCACTTCTACAAGGCCAGCGACGCGCTGGACGAAGAAGCTCGGCGACTCGCCAAGCGCAAGAAGACGCTGTCACGCATTGTCCGGCGACTGCAGCCACTTGGAGAACGGCGGCACCTCGCTCGCGTGTTGTGTAGCGCTGGCTTACGCCGAAGAAACGTAATTTATGATCTATCTTTCTCTTCCACTGCAAATGGGATACATCAGTCTCACTTCCTCTCAAAACGAGGTTTCCTACCAGCCCACTCGGCAGGAACCTTCTACCAACGGACTTGCCTTGTGTTCTACCACGAAACATTTTGAACCGCAGCGATATGTGCGCATGGAAGCCAAGGTCCATGGCATATCCAACAAAGAGTGCGTGCCAGGGATGGTGGTGGAGGCTCGCGACCGTCGCTCCGTGGCTCATCGACGGCAGCACCATCGCACCATCGGGTGCAGAATAGGAGCTCGTGGCGGGCGGGTGCATGGCGATATCGACTGCACGACGACCTGCGCGAAAGCCATCCCAGTAGCTCCAAGGACGTGGTCGTAGCGAATCGCTCGTGCAAACAAACGTAGTATGCACACAGACCATACGACGTCATCAAAAAAGGCTTTAAACATCGAATAAAGCTACTAGTAGTATATCAGGCCTTGACTCTCTGGATGGACGGCTGCTTGAGCGCAATGTAGCGTCCGACAGCAAAGCCCGCGGCGACGCCCAGCACGACGATCGTGAGCGCAGCGCCCATGAGCGCGCCGGCAACGACTTGAATTTGGTTGCCGTCGTTGTAGTTGTAGCCCACGCTGCGCAGCCACCACTGGGGGTACCCCATCGGCGCGATGCCCATCTCGTCGGCCGTCGTGTTGGAGACGACGTAGCCGTCGTGGAAGTGCGTCACGAGCGTCGCAAAGAGCGCGGTCGCGGACGCCAACGCGCGGGCCGCCGCGTCCGCGCTGGTCTGCGTCAAGCACGTGACGGCGTCCGCGTCACTCAGCGTCGCGATCTGCGCCGCCACCGCAGCGTGGGCTAATCGCAGCATTATCGTCTCGACAATGAAAGAGAGCGTCGTACCGGCGAGCGCGGCGGCTTCGTACGCGCCGCTGGCTGCGCGAATGACGGGCGACGTCAGCTTGTAAAAGAGGCCGCCATAGTTGCCAACGATCGCGTTGGCCCAAAAGAGCGTGCGGTTGTCAAAGCGCCGAAGGGACCCGCGCGCGGTGGCGTCGGGCGTCGCCTCCACACGCGCATAGATCGGCACATACGTCGTCGCGTGCGGCGCGTAAGGGCCAAACCTACTCGATTGGACGCTCGACATATCGCACTTGACAGCGATACGATGGACGGTACCAGACGACGCCGAGCCGAGGGTCCAGCGCGCTCGCCTGCGTCACGTACGAGTACGCAGTTCGGAAGAGCGAGATGGCGCGCTCGAACTGCCCGTCGGCGCCGGCCGATCCGGTGGCTAGTGCCGATGCCGTGAGTCTCCGTGTGCGGGGTAGGGTCTACCTACCGTAACGGTCGGGGTTGCCGTACGGACCGGACGCCTTGTCGGTCGTCAAGTCGAACGCCGTGCCTTCGTAGTGGTCGCGCTGGAGCCGCATGAGGTCGGCGGGGCCGAGCAGCGCGGCCGGCTGTGGAAACAAGAGCAGATCATCATCGA